GTGGTGAAAAGAGTGTTTTGTAAAGGCTTCTTCGCCTTGCTGTGGGTGCAAAAGGAGAGTCACTATTGGTATTAGTGCAATACTCAGAGGGTGCCTTTGGGGAGTGGATGTAGGTCTGGTTTAGACCGAACCATTTTAAATCTGGTGTCATTTACTTTACTGTTTTTATTTTTTCGTATTTTATTTTTGGTTTAAAAACTCTGTGGTTGAAAAATGTTTTCTATAAAAACTTAATAAAAATTTTCATTTCAGTTCAACCCTTTTTCAAAGAGGGTTTAAATTTTTAAACTACTAATTCACCCCCCCTCTTGGTAGCCTTGGGATATTAACTTAGGTCTAACAACCTATTTACTAGACTCAACAATAGCAAGCATACTAATAAAAATCTTAGAAGTAAGATTATTGAAAAAAGTGTAGAGGTTCATAGGCATAAAATCATTCCAAATTAGAGTGCCATCTTTTTTAGGTTTGAGAACAATAGAATTAGCATCAAAGAATTTAGGCATATGATTTCCATTAAAGAAGTCAACAATCGCACTAACAATATCTTCCATAATAATCAAATAAGATTTTTAAAAAATTTTAGTGGAATAACTGTCAGGGCCCGCAACAGATTTAAAGTACATCTCTTTAATATAAGGAAGACTTCTTTCCCAGAGGGGCATTTAATAAGAGATAAGTTGTCCTTCTTAGAGATAATGGATGAAATTATATTAGGATCATCAATAGGAGTGGGAATAAAATTTTTGTAAAAAAGGATTTTAAAATGTTCCACCCCAAAAGAAATAACGAGATCCTCCATATCATAAGTGATACTATTAGAAAAAGTAATTTTATGAATGTGGTTAACGGCCTTTTCTTATTAATAATAGCAAGAACGTGTTTAGTATTTATATCCTCACTTGAAGGAACCTAGAAGTAGCTTTCTATTTCCAATAAATTTCATCTAGCTCTTGGAATTTAAAGAGTTTAGTTTTGGAATAAATACAAATATAAAACTCTCAGCATTACAGTTGCTTTGAAAAAGATTATCTTAATTATTTATATTATTCTCTTCAATAATATTAGAAAATATAATTTAGAAAACATTTCTTTTCCAATATTTATATTTTTTTTTATTCATTTGAGCTTACACCATAACCTTTCCATACTAGTAATAAAATCATTAGGGAAAATAAAAACATGCCAATTACTTTGAACCATATCAAGGAAGGAACTATCTTTTAAACACATGTTTTGAAATCTAAAAGTAGCATGATAATTTAGATTCAAATATTTAATAGAGAGGAGAAGAGGGGATTGGTCAGACAAGGTTCTACTTAAATTCTCAAATTGTGTTAAAGGAAAAGTAGATATTCGCTTATTGTTAAAAAGAGCTCAATCCAACCTTTACCACATAGTGGAACTATGCCAAGTAAAGTTGGAAATGTAATAAAAAATATAAATTTAGTTAAAGTCTAGAACAATATTATTAAAGTCCTCCATATTAGATGTATTTAAAGCATTACAACCAATCTTTTCATTGGACAAAGAGATAGTGTTCAAGTCTCCTACTAACCAAGGATTATTAGTAATGGATGCGAAATCAAAGAGTTGACTCTATAATATGTTTCTCCCACATTCAAAGCAAGAGGCATACACTAAAGAAGCATTAAAGAAATTATTATTAAATTAGAAACAACTATAAATAGCTTGATGAAAATCCACAAAAAGGCACATCTAAATTTGACTATTTAACATTAACCAAATCTTAGTAGAACTATTAGATAAAGAAGAATTAAAACCAATAGCATACATAACACTAAAAAACTTAGAAGAAGAATTCAAAGGCTCTAACAACAAAAGCAATTTATTCCTAAGAATTCTACATAGATTTTAACATAATCCATAGATCCATAATTCCCCAACCACCCACCACACCCCATAATATTCAAAATAAGAGTGTTAAACAAGAGTACGTAGATGAGAAGTTTGAACCTTGGTGACCCGAGGGGTAAGAGGTGGATTTTTCTTCTTATTTTTATTATTCTTATTTTACACTAATTTAAATCTATCATCCTTTTTAAAGTAGTCCACTTCCTGCTTAGTAGAGATAGAAACAAGAAAGGTCAAATTAATAGAAGCCTTTACATTATAACCAACATTATCCAATGGGATATATTCACCCTCTTCCAAAGTATCTAATCTCATGAGACAACAACCCCCAATAGAATGATTCTTCCCCTTATCAATATTGAAATTGTTAGAAGAATATCCTAAGGATAAGGACATATTTTTATTTAAGGTACAAGGAAGCTGAGAATGGTTCATAGAGCTATTATGTTCACCAACCAAACTAATTTCCCTATTAAAACGGAAATCATTAATTAAAGCTAATTGGCTTTCTTCAGAAAGCTGAGAATTAGTAGCAGGTTATCATAGGAGTCACATCATGATTCTT